CCCCCCACCCCCGCCCCCGCGGGAGCGGGCGACGGGCGTGAGCGCGAGGTGGCGGCAGCGGACGGGGAGCGGCGTCTACCGGGTGAGTGTCGGTGGGGAGGCCCGGCACCTGCCCGAGCCTGGGCGTCGTGGGTGTCCCGGGTTCGTTCTGGTGACCCCGCGTTCGGGTGGGTGCTTTTGTGCGCGACTGCTAGTGTCCAGGGGACTCGGCTCGGCCCGGAGCTGGGGTGGCCAGAACTGCGGGAACTGCGGGGCTGCCGGAGGGCTGCGCAGGGCCTGGCGCGCCCGCGCCCGCGCCCGCCCGGGACGCCCAGAGAGGCGGAGGGGAGAGGGAGTGGCTGGGGTGCGGGGTGCTTGCTGGCTTGGCATTCGCCCCTTGAGTGGAGGGGATGGTGCTTTTCCTCGCCTCTTCCTGGATATTGCGAAGAGTGAACCTTTGTGGACGGGCTCTACACCCCAGCAAGGTGTTCGAAAATGAGGACTGTCAGCACTAGGCTTGAGTCGGTGGAGAGTATTGAGACAGTGGGGAGGGTTAGTAGTTACAGTAGTAATTGTTGCAGAAGTGGTTTGCTAATAATTGTTGGTAGATGTTGAGTAAGGAGAAAATATTGTCTGCGTTCATTTAAAGATCACACAAACAGTCCTTTGAGGTCCGACAACGGGTTGGAGTTATTCCTGCTTGGAGTTGTATAGTTTAGCACCTTGCGCCTGCCCCTAAAGTACATAAAAGTAGGATGGGGGGGTGATGATGAGGTGGGGACAAGGTGAGGTATAAAGTAAGTTAGCTGCCTGTCAAATCAAAAAGTTCGTGGTGTTAATATGTTAAAATATAAAGCATTTTGTGTCTTCACTGAAACATAATTTATTGAAATTGTTTAGGAAAATTTGCTGATTTTGTTCAGTCTGGGGTTTTCAGTTTAGTGTGTTGCTCGGTGATGTTTACCTATCAGACAGTACTTTTGACATATATTTGCGTATGGTTTCTAAAAGAACAACAGATTGACAAACTGACCTTGCTTTGTGCACTTTCTCGTTTTGGGTGAATAGGAGAGTTTACTTTGCTTTAGGGATGATTTGTAGTAGTATACAAAAACATTGTAAGGAAAAATATTTTGGTCAAGAAAGGGCTTGTGAGATGAGAGTTTAGTTTTGCACAGTTTTAAGTTATAAAAGGCCATCATCATCCCTGGTGTTTTATGATGATGCCTCTTTGGGAACACTGGAATAATGCAAGCATATACATATACATAATTTTACATCAGTCTTTGATACGAGTTTTTACAACTTTAGGCATGCCCACTCTCTGCTGCCCTTTAACTGGCTTTTGAATCAAGGGAAAGTTAGACTTCAGTGAAGGTAGATGCTAAATATTGTATGTGATTTCCATCTTTACATCTGCCAGACTATAGGCTATGTTCAATCACCTTGAATTTTCTTCCTTATATTTATTTGACACCTTCTTTTCCTTAATTATAGGGCAGACGGTACAGTTTGTGTTGGAGCTGGCATTGGGTATATTCAGGCCGAGGACTTGGTGGGTAATGTGCATTTGCATTTAATCCTTACAGTAACCGTGTGCTAAAGATGTTATTCCTGTTGCACAGATGAAGACATCAATCTCTAGTATTCCGTAACTTACATAGCTGGTTAAATTGTAGATGTAGAACTCAAACTCCTGCGTCTGATTCGAGAGCATGTGTTCTTTCTGTTGTACTTTGCATAAGTTTATGTGCTGACTTACAAATTTTATAAAGATGAAATTTTTGTTACAAAGAAACCTTAGTTCTGTTGGTAATCTTGAGAGCTTTCACTGTCCTTGACTCAAGATAATCTCACAAATGTTTTTCTTTTCAAATGTGTCCATTTTGCAGCCAGAAGTAATATTTGAGCAAAATTCTGCTGATTTATAAAGATTCCTGAGAGCTGATAGTGACCTATCTGAAATTCAGACGTTTTCAGTAACTTTGCCTCCTGTTTTAGCATGCCCAAGATACTTAAAAAATGAAATGCTTTGTTTATTCAGATCCCGAACAGTATTTCAAATGACATTACTAAAATAAAGTAGCAACTATTTCTAGGCGTTTGAATTAGCTTTAAGAGAGTTTAGAGGTATACACGCACAAATCTCTACCTTCTCCAGCAAATGAAGTATTGACAACTGATTCTGGTTTTTTTCTTCTTAATGTAGTACAACGGTTTTGGATTCAAGTCATGGTTTGCAGAAAATATGGCAGTTATTGTGGGAAGCAGCATAATCCCTTATGTGGGTAGGGATTGAAAACCTTAGAAATGGTATCCCGGGCAAGATCTGAGATGTAAGTGAAACAGCAGGAACATTTTGCAGGTTGTCACTTTTTCTCCCACTGGTCTCTGCTGTGCTGTCGCTGGCTCTTATCTCTCTGCTCAAGAGAGAGGGCCCACATCTGGGTACGGTTCATCTGGAAGAACAGCTGTGGAAATTGGCAGGGTCGGGGGATACTGGTAGTGTTCATCTGCCAGCCAGGTCATTTAGTTAGATTTACCTGTGTGATTGTCTCTGGCTGGAAATGTTAGAAAAGCTGCGGTGAAGTTTGAGATTTGGTGCTCCATCTTTTAAGAAGTATATTGTTTGGGGCCCTTCAGAGAAGTATCCCTGTCTCATGGAAATGGAAAAAGAAAAAAAAGTTTGCATTTCTCAGTATGTGTCAGCATGCATGTGTGTGATATGGAGTGTGGGACTAATGTTTAAATAATCCCTGGAAGTGTTGACAAGCAATCTTTGGTCAGAATGAACAAGTTTTTAATTATAGTTATACTCCCAAGAAAGAGTTAAATATACTTTTGTGAAAGTAATTACTCATGATATTTGTGCTATTAGGATAAAAAAAAAACCCTGACAAATGATAATGTTACTGAATGCTTAGCAAGGAAATAAAAAAGCCTTTTCTAAAATGATTTCTATTGTCAGAAAAGACATCAGGAAATTGCCTTGTAATTATTAAGAAGTTTATTTTCATACATTCTGCATGATAAACCTCAAATTATTGCCATGGCCACAAATAACTTACTTGTCTTAAAGTGGAGTGGACCTGCTGAAATATTTCCAACTCTCAAACTGAACCCTAAATATTAAAGAACATTTCTTAGGGTTTAGTTCATTGACAGCTCTTATTACTTTTTTTGTCCAGCTCTCTAACATTCTACTTCCTTCACTGCTTAAAATTTCTCTCCTTATTTTCCTCCTTTTCTTTCTGACACTCTTCTTGCCATTACCTGAGTCCTTCCCTCAGTTCTCATTTTACACTGAAGTTTTTGCCAGGTGGATACTAGCAAAGAGAGCACCTTTAAAACTTCTCTAAGTCCATTCCCCTTCTGCAAATTTCTGTCCAGCAAGAGGTCAAGAGGGATGTGGATGGGATCCCTTAACCCAGCCCGTTCTTTCTTGAAAAGGAGAATGAGAATAACCAGAATGAAGGAGGCAGTGTCAAGACACTTGCTTTGGTTTCTCTTCTTCCCTCTCCTTGAGCATTAAAAAGAAAAGTTTGTAAAAGCCCTTGTGCTGCTGGAGCAGGCACTGTTTCTCTCTTCCTCTTCCTCAGCCCACTCCACTGACACACTTTTTCTTCTTTTCAGCTGCCATCCCACCCTTGTCTCCCAAGTAGGTTTTGCCTTCCTCTTTTCCATCTCCTCCCACCCTATCTCTGTCTTTTTGCCCTCCTTATGTCCTTTTCCTCCTGCTGGGGGAGGTTGAGGCTATGGTCCTAGGGAAGCACACACCCCCAGTTAGAGCAGGGAAGATTTCCTTTTTTTACTTCCAGAGTTCAAGGGGGTAGTTGCTTCCGAAGATGGAATGCTAAATGGGTTTTCTCACAGAAGTGTTGCCTGCACAGGTTTGTGTTTTGTCAATAATACTTCCGTAACCTTATGGATGTTCAGGCTTTTGTGGGCTGGATTGGAAGTCTAGTGCATTGACTAGTGTTTATGTGAAAGCCAAGACCTGAGGTTTATGGATGATTTTAAAAACCAACTTGTGTTCCAGAAGTTGTTGGAGGCTGCCTCCTTTTTTTTTAGTGAGTGAGATGATAGGTAGTTCATCCTTAGCTGTTCAAAATTAGGTTTGTTATGTGGATCAAATGGCTCTTCTGGGAAATACACTAAACTGGTAGGCATTTTACATTATCAATAAAGAATTTCTGTATTTAGGCATATGTTTTGAAATATAATTTTAGTCCATTTCAGCTTAATGTTTGTTGTTAATGCAGATCTTACACTGCTGTTGAAAGAACAGAGTTTTAGCTTATAAAAGGAATATCTTGTTCCCACAATTTCTTGCTGATGTTTTGAAACTTTTCAAAGGTATTGGACTTCTTACAGTTATTTTATCCTACTTTACTTAGTGGTAAACATGGACAGTGTCTTTGTTTTACCTGATTATTTGAAAATAAACTTTTATTAATCTGTTGACGTTACATACTGTCACCCCCATGGTGTTCACACAATTAAGTGAAAGATTTCAAAGTGATAAAAGCAAAGCCAAATGTATTTTAAATTTGTTCTCTATAATTGTGTTTAATCTTAGCTTAATTGAAGGAAATATTCCTAATAAAAGGCAAGATAGTTCATTTTTTCTTCTAACCACTGTTTTGTTTGAAAAAACATTGTACCAGTTTACCTAAGTCTTTATATACAGTGTGGTGATTAAAAACAAGGTCTCTAGGGGTAAAATGCTCAAATGTTCCAGTCTTCTGACATTAACTAGCTGTCTGTTCTTGGGCACATTGCTTAATCTCTGATCTGTTTCCTCATTTTTTGAAATAGGGATAATGTAATATCTACCTCATGTGAGCATTGAGTGAGCTAGAAGACGGATTGTATTTAAAATGTGGCTAGCAATAGTAAATGCCCCTCGAAACTTACTCTTATTACATTGTCATTGTCATTATCATTACTGTTGTTACTATTTCAGCTACCATGTGAAATAATACCCCTTCTTTGCTGCTGGTTCTTTCCTTGGTAGTAATTTCTTTCTTTTATTTTTTTTCATTTTTTTGAGACAGGTTCTCATATAGTTCAGGCTGGCCTTGAACTCACTGTGTAGCCCAGGCTGACTTCGATCTTGTGGTGATCCTCCTGCCTAGGGTTAGAATTACAGGCATGTGCCACCATGCCCAGTTCTTGCTAGTAATTTCTTAAAGGAAAAGTTATTGAGGCTGCCAGGGAGAATAGTATATTAACTGCTAGATATATCCACAGTTGGCCATAGTGAAAGAAATCTGTAGAATATTGTTATTTCAGTAGCACTATTCCTATCATGTTAGGTATAAAGATCTATGCCTCTTTGATGTATGAGCAAAACTGGGTTGAGTAACTCCTTTATTAAAATTTAATAGTCTTGGCATCTGTAAGGCTAGAGTCTATATAGAGGGAGCCTCAGTTTCTAAATACTAGTCTATAAAGACTTTAAATTCTTTTTTGAAATCACTTTCCTGCAGAAAAATAGTTGCATATGGTTTTCAAATTCCCAAGCCAACCCAACACACCTGAATTTGAATACTGATAGTACTATAAAAACTAACTTCTGTGTATAACAGTGTCTCAGCAAAACACACGCACGAAGGGCATCAGGTAATAAATGATGATTGCAGCCTTGCAGATGAATTTCTGCGTAGTCTTGGCAGGGATTCCCACATCTTAGGTGGAAAGTTTTCCTATCTGGGGAGGCTGAGGATACTGGGAGTATTGAGGGCTAGTCTCTAGGAGGCAGAGGCTGTTTTCCTGACTTAGCTTCTCAAAAGGCGGTACTGTAGAATACAGTGGTTAAGAGATGGACTGTGTACCCAGAGTGCTTGCCTTCAAATCTCTGTTCCATTACCAACGCCTCATCTGTAAAATGTAGGTAAAGGTAATGCCTGCCCTACAGTGTTCTTAGGAGTATTAAAAGTGTGAATATGTGTGAAGCACTTAAAATGTCCCCTGGCCCATAAGTGAGTGCGTAAGAAATGCTATGTATTTATTTTTATTAAGCTTCACTGTTTTAGAAACTCTAGAACACCCTTTTCTACTTGCTTGTCCACTGCCAACATCTGCTGTACTTAAGTAGGATTCTTCTTTTCACTTTCCACTAGGGAATCATTTCAGATTTTTCCTTTTCATTCCTGCCCTTTTTTGATGCTGATTTTGTTTTTTAATGTTAGAGAAAAAGGTAGCATTCAAAGCATCTTTTCTGTGAACCTGCGTCACCCCCAATTGAGCCTTGTGTGGGTGGAAATAAATTAGTTGATGATAGATACTGACTGCGGACATCTGATTGGCTCCAAATGTGTTTGGCAGTTTTTGCTAAGTCATTTATTTTTAAGTAAACTTTACTTTGAAATACTTTAGAATTAACAATTTCGGTATGTTACCATTACCTAAACAGCAGATTTTGTTTTATCACTTTCTTAGTTTTCTTATTGCAAAGACAAAATACCCACTTTCTTAGTTTTCTTATTGCAAAGACAAAATACCCAACACCCAGAGTTAAGGGAGGAAAGATTTATTTAGCTCACTGTTTGTAGAGGGTTCAGTTCATAGTTGGCTGGCCCCAAGGCAGGGTGGCATGGCAGAGAGACACTGAAGAGGTGAAACAGTTCATGGTGGGCAGAGGACAGCAGAGTAGTGAAGAAACAAAGCAGTAAGCTATGACAGCAGCCCCCTGTCCCTTATATTCTCTGTAGCCCTCACACCCAGGGAGAGCCTTTCCGTTATTCACTCCTGAACTATGCCAAACCAGTCAGTGGACTAATTTAGTAATCACACACCCATAGTCCGAGCATCACATACTCTAGATCCAGCCACCTTTGAAAAGCCCTACCTGTGACCACATGAGGCTTTGGGGAGCCATCTAGACCCAAACCATAACAGTCACTGTCCCACTAATGTCCGTTTTCTGTTCCAGACGTCACGTTACATTTAGTCACAAAGTATTTTCCTTTATTCTTGTTTATATTATTGTGATCTCTAGTTCTTTAGTGAATACATTTCTGTGGCTATAAATCCATTTTCTGATTTACTTTTCAGTTTTCTGTAGTCCTCAAAATCCAGGTGTTTCCTTTAGGGGTGGCAAGGGCAGGGACTCATCTTGGTGCTGAACTTTGTAGTTTGAAATAAAAAGAGAATCCTATGATAGTGGAAAGAAGCCTATGGTTTTGAGGTTTAGACTAAAACTTTTCTCTAATTTAAAAACTTTCCACAGGACTAAATGAGTTTTTATGTATTGTTCACTTTTGATGGATTTAACTTCAAAATGAAAAGACATGCTTTTGAATTTTTTCTTTTTTTTTTTTGAGACAGGGTC